GGATTCCAAATTGCTTCATGAGCGTCTGTGCATCTTTCTGAATATTCGGGAAGGCTGCCTGATATGCAGCATCTACCCCACCGTCGAAGAAAAGCAGGCTGTTTGCAGGGGAGACGGCTGCGCTCAGATCCAAACCCATGTTTAGCAAGCCTTCGAATGAGGTATGAAGGAAACGACAATTATTGTACCTCGATGGATCGACGTTCTTCAGAGCACGTTCGAGACTACGAATCTTGTCCTCATCGATGTCGAAGAAAGTGAACGTATCCATACAAGCTAGCATCATGAGAGCAAATTAACTTCTCCTCTGAACGCATAAACTGTTTGCAAAACTACTGTAGCTCGATGCGAGAATATCTACAGCTGATTCCGCGCAGCTCTCTGCTGTCCGTCCCAACGATCCCATTTACCCTCTTGTTTCAGAGATGCGTCCCCCGTGAGCGTTCCGGTTCCTTCCTTGAAGGCACCCGAGATCTTGTCACCGATCGCCTGGGCCCGATTCTGCACCTTGGCTTGGTCGATCTCCGTCTGCCCTTGGAACCTCTGAGCTTCTCCCTCGGTCCGCAGCCGCTCGCTCGCGATGCTGCCGACGGCTTCCTTGGATGCACCGATGACCTTGTCTTTGTACCCTGTGACTTTCGACATGTTTGGATACTATATACCAACAAAATAATCTCGGACGTCGATCCATGTCGCTTTTCGCACTGCATACTGGACCATGTAGGAGAGCTTCGGATAAACACCCGGTCCCTTTTCGGCCCACCATGATCTCCCATCTCTTAGATCGTACTCAAGGAGTGTCGGTAATTGATGTAGACGGATTCGTAGTAGAGGTAACCCGAGATGTCTGTCAGGTACGGCAAGGTGGTCACGAACGGGGTCGATGGTACTCTCCGGCTGCGAGATCATTTCGTAGTAGCTTCTTCCTTCTCCATAAATGGCCGTTCTCGGACGCCGACCCAGTTCCCATCTCATCCATCTCTGAGATCAGAGCTCTGGCACTGCTGATGATTCATGAAGACAGATACACAGTGAAGGATCCGAGGTGTCGGCCTATGGGTGACAGGAGGTGGCAAAGGGATCCGGTTGACATTGCTGGTTGCGAGACGAAAACGTAGTAGAAATTTGTCTTCATCCAGGAGACAAAATAACCGGCAACGGTTTATAGCCCGGCCCATAAACACATGTACTTCATGTTCATGTTCTCAACATGAACACAGCTCGCTTTCCTTTTATACATATTCATCGCCCTTTTTCTCATAATCTCTCCTTAATATGACTTCTTATAATATATAACCAGTTACTTGGTATACTTAACGCGCACGGAACAAAAATAGTAATATTCTTGTACTATATGGTATGGCCATAGTGTTAGGATGAGTAGTGCTATGGTGGTCATGAGTTACATGATCACTGTTATTCGGATCTTTGGAAGATGAATATGGCCGACATATTCTATGGGACCTATTAATATTCCGGTTTTTTCCGGGTGCTCCGGTTTCTACTAGGACCCTGACGATTCATCGTCAGGAGGTTTGTCTTCATGATCGAAAATCCCGAAAATGTACAACCGGCAAACCGGTCCTCTTCATAAAATCGAGACTCTCTTCATGAACCCTCTACATGAGCACTTTTTGCGATCTCAACCGGTTCGTCCGGCCGGAAGCCATGTAGACGATATTTTCTACTACGATTCGTACTAAGGCGGCATAAGGGGAGCGCTTGGTGTACATCCCCTCGGAGAGAGACGTTTTTCGAGACGCGCGTGAAGACGAAACCGGATTTCCCGAGCAACCGGCATCCCCTGAGATGATGATGAATCTCAACTAACCCGAAAATCTATCCGGTTGTCCGGTTGGTCGGAAAATTCCGTAGTACGTTTCGTAGTAGACATGGTTTCATGAAGAGGAGGGTATGACCACAGTCCAAAAATTTTGCTGTACACCCCATTTTCTCTACTACGACTTTCTTTGGATGAATACGAAGGGTTACATTTGATAGGCTCCTCTCGATGAAAACCGCATTCGTAAACGATCATCGAGACGAAGTCTTCGAAAAGCCATCTTACTGATCTCCCGGGACCATAGATGAACCTGAAGTGGCCCCGATTTTTTACCGGTTGTTCGGATTTCGGGAACGTTTCGTAGTATATTTCGTAGTACGAAAAATTCCATGAAGACGAGACGGCTCGATCAGGGTACACCAGACACTGTGTACACACGAAGCATCTCTGGATGAGGGAAGATGAGGTTTTCCCGAGGGTGCAGAAAAAGCTACAGTTCATGTCGATGTATGTAGATAGATGCATGAAGGATTGACAAGTACTTCCCGGCTGTTAACTGGCGCCACTACTGCTACAGGTTGCGTTTCAGCTACAAGTATAAAAGCTCTGGATCTATCAGGAAAGCTATGGACATCTCTCGCATCCTGGCAGATCCAAAGGTGGCTGCCGTAGCGTGGGACGGTGATCGAACCAACCTTGCTCTCGTATTCTGCAAGGCATTCAAAGAAAGAGAACAATTTTCGATAGACTTCGATGACGTTTGGAGGTTTTTAGAGTACTCGAACAAGTACAGTGGTGTTCGCAAGCTTCTGTCTGGACACTTTGTGGAGGGTGTTGACTTTTTCCACAAGAGAGTGGAAAATGGTCAGGTCCATGTCGGCCAAGATCATGAAGGTGGATCAACGTGTGGCCGGCCCTCCGATAAGTACTTCCTGACAACTCATGCTTTCGAACATTTTGCGATGTCCAGCTCAACCAGCACTGGGCGTCGAGTCAGAGAGTTCTTCATTGCCGTACGTGATGCTTTCGTCCAAGCTCAAACAACATATACAGAATCAATCCTCGCAAACGAAAGTGGAAAGTTAGAATTCGAAAGAGAGATAACTAAGCAACTGGAATGGAGGTTCAAGACTGATGAAAAGAAGCTAGCCGTCGAGATTGAGATCAAGAAACTCGAACTGGATCATGAGTATCGCATGGCACGTCTTAGAAGTAGTGCCGTGCAACAAACGGACCAAACGCTTTCAATTGGCGACAGTATAGAAGAACCGCGGAAAAGACCGGATCAGGAAGAACAACACACCAACGAAAAGCAGGAAGAGATGCAGATCATTCAGGTCTTGACCAACGAACCGATCATGCATCAGGAAAACAGCCACGAGCATTTATTCCGACAGAACATCGTGCCGGGACCAGATGAGGCCAAGCAATACGGGGTCCCAGATGGTATCAGGTACAAGAAGTTGGACTGTGGTACGACTCTATTCTCTGCCTACGACATCATCTCCTTCTGCGGCCACTCAAACCCTCGTCGAAGTTGGAGAACACACTTCACCAAAATCCATGAAGAAGCGACTACCCACCCATTCGACAACAGAGGGGGTCCTACACCCGCCGTGACCTTTGCACAAACCCACGATCTATTCCGACACTTCAACAAACGAAACCCGATCACAGAGGAAGCGAGGGCACCGCATCCTGACTACGTGACGTCCGAGCAGCTTCAAACGATCGTAGCTGCTGCAGTATCTTCGCTAGCTGCTCGCATCGACGAGCTTCCGAAACGGCGGCCCGCCAGAATCGAGGAGCGGCCCTCCGAGAGAACCAGACTGGAACCCGTTCAGACCGTCGTCCGAAAGAGTGCCGACGGACTGTTCAGCATCTTCGACAAGCTCGCAGTGGACTTTCCTAACATGAAACGGGACAAGGTTCGAAGGGACTTCCATGCTGTTCATGCTGACTTAGGCAACACCATTCAAGTAGATACGTGCCCCGTCGAGTCGGGGACCAGACCGACGCCATGTTGCAACGCGGAAGATCTCGAGAAAATCTGCGAAAAGATTCGGGGTAAGATGACGAAGACAAGCACTAGTGGGGCAGATACACCGTCTGACTCAATATAGGGAAGTGAGCTGCCGTGAGACAGGTATCTTCTGGAGACTGGCTAGAGAGGGATTCATGGCTGAACAAGACAAGCACGGACATTGGTTTACGCTGGAGGACGGGAGTCAGTCCTACGTACTCTCAGGACGAGCTCTACCTACGAACCTGAAAGAGACAACGATATTGCACATCCCATGCTGGCACTACGTGCCCGGATTGGATGGACAATACATCTTCGTTGGTGGATCATATAAGAAGTGGAAGAAGGACTTTGCGTACATGGAAAAGGAGTCACCGACGGACGATTTTATGATTCGTTGTGGTACTCTGCAGGCAATAGCAACGTTTTTGCCGAGACTAGAATATGTGTACGAGACGAAGGATTCGGATCCCGAATCTACACAAGCATGGAAGAACTTTATGGATGATTGTGCCATCCTGATATGCTTGGAGAGAAAGAACGGTGCGAGGATCATGGTCATGCCAGAAGACAGGAAATGCCTTGTCCTAGAAAGATTTTTCAGGTGGTAATCGTCTTTCAGGTAGCGGTTGATTCAGACTGTTGAGACGCCTTCCACTCCTTCTCGTAGAAATGTTTACAAGCATCCATCAGAGACCTATGACCAGGGTCCTCCTTGACGTATTCACGCACTTCGGTCCACTCCTGCAGCTTCTCGTATGCATCTATGAGATCTCGAATGGTGATTCCTGCATCCGGACGAAGCGGCTCGCATGCTTCCACGACTGGAATCACAGCCATGAAGAATCTCTCGTTGGTCACGCTGTATATCAACACCTTGTCATCGTACGTCCCTATGATGACAAAGTCTCCTACTGCGTTTCCGAATGGATAATGGTATAGATGCATCGCGGAATGGGATCGTACTCTACCAGACCGTCTGGACGCGCACCATCTCCTTTCCTATATCGAACCTGGCCTTCACCCTACGGTACATAAGACCCTCTGGGCGATACAAGTACTCCCTATATGCCCTCGATATCAGCTTGGCCGCTCTCGGCACGAGTCTCTCCTCTCTGTTCTTCATGAATTCATCTATGAGGTCCGCCGGTCGCCGTCCGAGGACCGGCTCCTCGTCCCATCTCGGAAAGTCCCCCGGGAAGAGCACCCCCGCCTCCACCTGCTCCCTCGTGGTCTGCTTCATGACCCCGCCCTTGCGCGCGAGCGCGTTGAGCACCGACAGCTCCTGGCAGTGCTTCGCGTAGACCATCTCGACGGAGGCGTCCGACTTGGTGTCCAGCCGCTGGAATCTGTGGCAGAGCTGGTACAGCGTGATCGTGCTGTAATTCGGGCTCACCAGGGCCGTCCGCGGGAAGCCCCCGTGCTTGTCGTCGAGGTCTATCCCCGTAGAGCAGACGGAGACGTTCCCGATCAACACGCGCCTATAGTGCGTGGGAGCCTGGAATGCATCTATGATCTCCTTACGCTTCGTCTTCGACACGGTCCCGTCCAACACCAGCGGATCCCACCAGGAGAGGGCCGCCTTCAGCTTCTGGATGCTGCTCCTGTAGTTCAAGCAGATCACCAGCTTGCGGTCCTCGTCGCTCATCAGCAGGTCTCGTGCAATCCTCAGGAAGGTGCTGACTTTGGCCTCCTCGATCTGCACCAACGCTCTCGTGAGGTCGCCGAAATTGGCATTCTCGTAGGACACCCTCCCCGTCCCCGAGTCGTATCTCACGGCTTCCTGCAGCGCCCGCACACCTTCCGTGAGGTCGTTCCTGTCGCTCTCGTTCTTCACGTCGTAGAACCCGTTGTACTTGTCCAGAGTCGCGTCCGAGCGCGTGGGGGGCATCGCGGACGCCAGGTGCGGCTTGAACACATCCTGGAAGAGGAGGTAGCAGAGCCGCCGCATGTTGTACTCGTTCAGGAACCACCAGCGGTGTTTCATCCTCAGTATCTTCTCGGTCCCCTCCAGGTCTATCCTCTTGCAATGCTCGATGATGTCGGTGATCCCGGTGCACTCCATGGTGCGCGTCCCGATGTTGTAGCGGCACAGTTCGTTCCCCTGCATGAGGTTGAGGGTGCGGAAGAGCGTGGCCACCTGTTCCTCCTTGTCCAAGGGGCTGCCGGACAACATGAGGACCCGCGACCGCCCCCCTTGCTCGAAGGAATCTACGATGGTCCGCACGAGAGCTTGGCACGCGGAGGTCTGCGCCGTGACGTTCTTGATGAACTGTATCTCGTCTACCAAGAGGAGGGCGCCCTCTCGTACGAACTCGCGGAACTTGTCCGTGACCCTAAAGTCCGTCTTTGAAATCTCCCGCACCTCGTTGTTCTTCCTGATCTCTACCTTGAAGTCTCTCCTGGAGAGGAGCCCGTGCGAAGGCTGTTTATTCCTGACGGAACGGATGCTGCAGAAGCTGATATTCTCCGTTATGGGCACCCCGTAACGCACGCGCATGTCGTTCCACTTTGGTTGTACGCTGACAGGAGCGACGAGGATCACATGTAGGAACCCCATGGTGAGAGCTATGTGCGAGCCGGTGTAAGTCTTGCCCAACCCCATCTGCGAAAAGTCTAGCGCATAAGGGCTCCTCTCCAGCACCCTGATCAGTCTCTCCGCATGCACGACCTGGCTTGGAAAGAGCGTGATCTTCTCTGTGGTCTCCGCCATGACGTCCTGCTCACCCGCAGAGAATGACGGTTCCTTATATAGACGCACGAGTCCCAGACGGACGCTCGTATTGCTGGAATAGAACGCTGATGAGGCGTCCGAAACATTCTCGGACGGAAGTCCCACGCTTCGCTTTCGGGCCCAGTCGCCAAAGCTCAGCGTCCGAGAATATCTGGCGATAAGGTACGAGATGACTTACGAGCCTCCTAGCCCTTCTCGGATCTACGGAGCGTTCGCAGACCCGCGCATCATGACGGTCTTGAGGAGAGTGAGTCAAAGGGGGGCGCGCGACGCGCTGATGAATGCGGCTCGTCACGAAGAAATCGCTCTCTGTGCCATCAGGACGGTGGCTTTCTTGAAGACCCAGATCCAGTCTGAGGACATCGAGGACGATGAGCCAGGCGGCGTATGCTACCGTCTGTCCCACCGCTTGATCGAGAAACTGAGGGGGAAGGATGCCGCGACCGTCTCAGCGGCCATGATCCTCCTGGATACTTTGTTTTCCGAGGATCAGCAGAATGGTCATGAAGACGAGGCGGAGAGTTACGTATGCGCCCTGTCCACTTTCCTATACAAGAGCTTCGGGGCGAACATGAGCGGTGCAGCAGGGGACAGGGGCAGGACTTTGGAGGTCAGGAGCATCAGCAGATCCTTGCAGGATCCAGAGAGCAGCGACCCCTTTCCTACGGCCGACGAGCTAGCGCGTCATCTACGCCCGCTTTCGATATGGGAGTACGAGCGAACGTGGAGCCTCCCAGGCCCCAGCCCGAGAGACTACTTGCAGCCCCAGGATACGCAACACCGCAATCCTCTGGATGAAGCGGGAACAAATCTGAGAAAGCGAGCGGAACGCATGCGACTCGAGAGACGGCAACGCAGATCGTGAATAATCCCCCGGTTTGCTTTCGGCTCGTCGTACTCAGGGAGGCGTCCGAAAAGTCACTCTGACGACCGAGACCTACCACGTGGTGGGTGGGTGGTCGTTTTCGGACGCCGGGAATCAATAGACACTGCCATCTTCGCTCGAGGTTTAAATGCGAAGCTGTCTGCTCCTGGTGGGATCATTTCTCCCTTTAGCACTCAGACGCAAAGATGATGCTCTACATCGGACCTCTGTTGGATCTGTGGCCGGTCAGACGCTACGCGTACGCGCACAGGGAATTCATATACGTGGACGGGCTGCCCGACAGCAAGTACTTCACACCGAAACAAGCTGGGTGGAAGAAGTCCAAGGACAAGGAAACGATGGTATCCAGAATCAGAGACAACTTGCAGTCTGACGACGCACTCGTTTCAGATGAAGAGCTTCCCGACGACGTGCACGTATTCAAGCTGCGTGGTGGGGCCGAGCTGACCTACTACTTCAACCGATTGGACGTCGACATGCCTAACGACCCACTTCTGAAGGACGTTCTGCCACGGGTGACCGCCGTCTACGTTCAGGGATACCGCCCCAAGTTGCCACAGCTGCCTCGCCTGAAACGGTGCTACTGTACTGGACTCTGTTGCGATGTGGATGTTCCAAAGTCCGTCGTAACGACCATAGTTCCAGAGGTAGTCGACAGCGATGAACATTTGCACGAGACTCGCTGTGAGTACTGTGAGGAAGTCATCGAGCTGTAGACATTCCTAGCGTTTCCGCATTTCGACGGAACCTCGAAGGGGTGCGTGCTCATCCTCGACTAAATGCGAATGATGAATGGATCGCATCCCAGCTTGCTTGGCTACGATTCGTAGCGCTGGTATGAAGGTGTCCACACATCCCCATTCCTTGACGCGAGTCCCGCGAAGTCGATCCGCTAGATCATGCATTTCCGAGAGCGCATAGCGTACGGAATCTGGCATGGGTTCGAATTTGGGCACGTGCACTTTGGAACGTTCGTTCCGATCGAATGCCTCCAATATGATATGCTCCTCACCGAATGCAAGTATTCCGCACGGTTCGTCGCCTTCAGCTTTTCTAGGACGCTCGCGATGCCTCTCGCATGTTTCTCCGGGGTGATCGCGGGTCTCGCCGACATAGACTCTCTATGCCAACAGAACCAGGAAAATTACTCATCCTCAGACTGCGCTGTAGAAACTAGACTCTGCACCGTCGTCGCTCTCATTCTGAAAGCCTCTCAATCGCCGCTGCAACTCTGCCTCTATCGCGATCAGAGTAGCATACTTTCTTCTCCACCCCGGCAGCTTCTATGCGGGCGAGCTCGATCCGATCCTGGATGGCGGAGACCCTGCAGAGACGAGTCTTAAAATCAGTCACGGTGAAGATGTCATGCTATGCAATTCCTCGGATCGCTCGATACATCGTGCTGATGCTTCTGCGAATGAGTAAGAAGTGGGTGGACTCACTCTGACGCCATCAGAGCCTCGGACCTCCTCAAAGAGGCGGCTTTCTGCGTCTCCGCCTCCAGCGTCACCGACAGCCCTTCGTGGACCGTCCTGGCCTCGGCACAGACCGTCAGCAGCTCTCTCACTCGCGAGCTCGTGCAGTGTAACTTCAGGCGCAACTCCCCAGCGAATTCCCTCCGGGCACGTATCTCAAGCTCCAGTTCCTGCTGCTGCTGGTTCAACGTATTCAGAGATGCGCTCAGAGCTTCGTTCTCCTTCTCTACCGTAGCCAGCTGTCGCCTCAGAGCAAGGCCCCTCTGGCTGGCGAGGTCCAACTGCTGTTTGTTAGCCACGTTCTTCTGCGTCTCTCTCTCGAGCTGAGCCCGAGCCTCTGCAAAGTCGTCGCCGTTCTCATCCAGTTCGACCAAGCTGGTCCTGGCCGGTCTCCCCCGCTTTCCCGGAGATGAGATACCAGCGAGCGTCTGGTCGACACGGACCAACGACTTCCACTGCACGGAGGAATTCACGCTCTTGGCTGCACATTCCATGCAGACCCCAGCTCTCGCCCCTGATGCATGATCACCTTCACTATCGTTTGCAAGTCATAGATGGCAAAGAGTACTGACCTTGTCTTTCAGCTGCGACGTCTGCAGGTCCTGAAACTCTTCGCACCTCTCCTTGATCTTCGCCCAACTCTGCCCGTAGGTCGCTATTGCGGCCTTCAGGGCCTCCACCTTCCCGGGCTGCTGCCAGAAGAATTCTGCAGGAAGGAGAAGCGACGGTTTGCGGCCGGGATTTCAAAAGTCGAGCAGCGAGTGCTGGCTGTAGCGGAGGCGATACTCACTCGCATTGATAAGCTCCTCCTTGCGGCTGTTGGTGTCGTCCGCGCCCTGCACCGCCAGAGCGATCATCTTCGTGCGACCCTTGGGATGGAGGCGGAAGTCCTGCACGAGTCTCTCCTCCACCCCTCCTGGGAACATGGTCAGCAGAGTGGCCGAGCGTATGCTGCTGTCCCCGGACGAAACCAGGCGGATGAGCTGGGCCACGGATACCCCTATCTGGAGCTCCCACCATGGGACCATGAACTCCAGATAGTCCTTCTTGGAGGCATTC